TTATGCTGGTTGCTTTATAAATATTATATCTTAAATGTATTAGAAAAGTGAAATACTTTATTTAGTTGTTATTTCTATCCCACAAGGATTCTCTAGACTATATGGTATTTCTTCTAAAATAAAGCAAAACAAAATGGCAAAATGGGATAGTTTGGATTTTAGCAAGCTCTTTGCAGGTATGATTTCATAGGACCATATTTAGCAAATAGTTATTTTATCAAAACTAGATGAATTACCTATCTGGAAAGCAGCAGATCTAGACTTTTTATTTTTAGTCAATTTAATGTACATGTTTGAAGCTGATTGGTTGCTCTTGGTTGCTCTTAAATGGCACTGGCATAATAAACCCAAAATCACTCAAATAAATCTGCTTAGCTTCTACACTCAGGTAATTCACATCTAACACCGTGTCATCAGTTTTCAAACCTGATGGGAAACCCCTTCCCTTTAAGTATTTTTTTTTTAAATCATTGAATATTTTTAAATATAGCTAGAATCTCAGTCTGGGCGGGAATGGTCACACTTGTGATTCACTCTAGTCACCCATCTAAATAGGCGCATACCATAACCTTAGGTGGATAACTGCAATAATACCATTAAAGTAGGAAAGGGGGCTTATAATTGGGATTTATACTTATGGTTGAGTTTCACATACAAAAACGGTTCTGTGCTGCATACAGTATTATTTGCAAGCTTAAAAAATGGAGATGGCTCTTTAGAACTTTAAGTCCAGGACCACTTCATTACTTGGATGCAGATAAGCCATAGGTCAGCAACAAGGAGTGCAATAAAACGTATGGCATATTTTGCAATGGAAGGTTGGCCAAACATAGTACCAAATCAGCATCCAATAATATGATTGCATTTTTGCGGGGTTAGAAACCAGGGGAGCAAGAGCAAATTGAAGTCAACACACACAAGAAGTCAGTGAGACGGTCAGGAGATCGTGGGCAACAGGAAAGTGTATAATTACCCAATAAGCATGCCAAAGTGTAAACAATTTCTGGTGGGTTTTTCTGAGCCGATTGGAGCCTTTGTGAGTCAATATTTACACAGAGTTTCACAGTTGCTTTCCAGGAACTACTAGAGAATTATGACATCAGAGAAGGAGCAATAAAAATCTTACAACAGCCTCCATGCACAGGTACTGTAAGATGTAATAAAATAGCAAGGGTAACTTCGGGTAATACACTTGTCATGTACCCTGCTCATTACATTGTGTCTACCATCTTAAAGTGTATTTCTACTTTTTCAGCCAAATTGGGATAACAACTATTTGTAATATGTTCTCATTCACATAACTTAAACAATATTTACATATTTAAAAATTGCTGTTTAACATTTTTTAAGCACTTCTTGTTTCCTTAAAAATCCCACCCCCTGTAATGTTAAGGAGGAGTGTGAGAAGTTATTTTTACTCTAATTAACTCTAATCTGTCTTGGCAGATTTAATTATCAGTTGTGAACTTTACTTTCATACTACTCAAAGTAGCATGCAATCTGTACAAAGGCCTTCAGCAAAGAAATATATAAATGGTAAAAAATATAACGAAATAAATATGTTAGGCATGTTGTTTGAATGGGAACACATAACAAGCAAATAGTGGGGTTTTCTCAAATGTGCCTGTGAAAGTGGAAATACACTTTAAAGGCTATAACAAATTCAAACAAAACTAATATTATCATTAACTATTCAAGTGAGTTGAATTGCTTTTTGCCTTCTAATATCTCCAAGGGCAAAATCACCTAAAGTGTTTTGCCCCCCCCCTCCCTGAGAATCCCTTGTATTATGTATATTTTTATTAATAAAAAATAGACATATAAGTCACCAGCTCTTAAAGTGTACAGTGACACATACATTTAATATTTTACAAACAACAACAAGACTACTGAGCTCTCAGTAGGTGGTTTTAATAAAATATAAATGCAAAATATCTAGTACAAGTAAAAATATGCATAATGTATGCAAAAATGTGCAGCAGTTTAAACTCGTTAATAATTACGATGAACCTGATAGTTTATGTTCTCTCATGATACAAAATGAAAATACTACTTGATAAATGCAATCCAATTTTCTTACCAAAATGACTGAATACATGAATGTATCTGTTTTTTTGTGCAGGATTATATTTGGTTTGCATATAATTATTTTAATTATGTCCTAAACTTATAAACTGACTTCCCAGTCATTGGTGCTATAGTGTAAGTAGGATATGGGTACCCTACTCTCACCAGTACAGTGATAATTTGTTTTTATCATATTTGGCATTCTGAGAGTGCCTGAGGCTTTTAATGCCTAAATAAACAGTTTACATTTCCTACTGCAGTACTTAAGAAGGACCTGAATTGTACTAGCTTTGGCCAAAAAGACAAACAAGCCTATGGCAAAGTACTAGTCATCATTATTGACTGAAGGCTCCCTGTAGCTGATGTTTTTCCCATTATATTTTTACTGATTTACCATGTACACCTTGCTCTCCAGCGAGGGGAAGAGTAAGCAGTACAGTAGTGACATCACCAAATCTCACTCCAAATCTCATGAGAGTATTAGTCAGAGGCAGCAGATGATCTCACACCTCAGATGTACAGCAATGAGACCCAAGGCACAAAGTGCTTGAGCACAGGAAGTGCAAATCTGTTTTTCATGGGGGAATTCAAAACAGAAGGCAGATTTGTAGGGTACTTCTTCGGCGCAATCAAAGCTAAACTCTAGTCTTAACGTCAGTCTTGCGCAGTTGTACAGGCTCTTTTCATGTATTGAAAATAGTTAGCCTGATTTCATTGCATGCTGTAAGCTTCTCACAGCGTGCATTAGAAACAAGTCAGATTAAGCACACCCCATTTTCTGGGCTATCAGCATTATTTACCTCTTTCCTCCCCAGCCTTACTCTCCCTGGCTTGTTCCTTTCATTCTTTGGATTTCAGTTTTTTTTTCAATCACGGAGGCTCAGCATTACATTTTGAGTGTTATCAACCCATCAAGACATTTTGATAAATTCTTCCAAGAGTCAGGCCATTGCTGGGTGCTCTTGAGAGGAGTATTGAGGCAGCATGCAGTGATGTTTTCCGAAATCTATGTACTGCACTCTGCTAGTCACTCCTACCATTGCAAAGAGAAGCAAAGGGACCTAGTGATGAGATCACTGGCTCTAAAATAAGATATATCATATAAATGGAAAGGTTTTATTTTAAAATATCATTAGCATGTTAGTGAGGGTGCAGTGTTAAACTTCAGCTTTAACATTTTTAGATGTTCCCTATCAGACATCAGATCTTCACTTTTAGATCCTTCACATTAAAGGATCTGTCATGAGAAAAGTAATATGTGAAGTTTGTGAACATCTTGAAATGCTAGCTTGCTGACTTCATGTGACTTCAACCTTTCGGAGTCAGTGACCTGGAGCAAGCATGGAATAAGTGAACTTAGAACTTGTAATTCACATGCCTGTTTGAGGTCAATGATTCAGCCCTCAAACCTCAGGATCAACATTACCATTAAGTAGCTAGGATTTGAAGAAGGAGATCAGCAATGGCAGCCACCATTCTTCCCTTGTGACAGGGTTAGTCTTTAAAAACATGAAAAAAAATTCTGCAGTTCGAATGAAAATTATAATGGTTTTGGGTACATTTTATTTTAGTTGTTTCTGGTAATTTACTAAAGGCAAAAGGCTGTTGGCAAGGGAATTTTCTCTTTGCAAGGAAAGTTTCCCTTATCTTAATGAATACAGTGGAAATTCACTATGCAAAGAATACCCAATCATAGTTACATAGTAATAACAGAGATGTGTGGAAAGAGAACAATAAAACAGTAGAAAGGCAACAAGACGTTGACCCTTGTGGCCAGTCTTAGAAATGTTTGGCAGATTTGTCACCATTGAATTTAGTGGGCTGTTTACTGTCTGGTAAGCTATTCTAGAAAAAGAAATGTAAGATTGGCCTGTTGTGTTGAGGTTTTTTGGCTTCCTTCTATTGTTATTGTGTGCAGCATAAATCATGCATTATGCGAAAATTACCTTTATTAATGACCAGTAACAAATGTGTCCAAGTCTCTCTTTCCACAATACTGTTTTCTCTTCAGTGGTCATATAGTAACCACAGCTTCCTGACTTCTAATATATATTTTGTGACTTTATATTGCTTCCCTGGATTGGAGTTTCACCTAGGGAAGCAATTCAAATGAACAGGGGTGGCAGTTCTATAAGACTATCAATCTTTGTGTAGCCTAGTGTACAGTAAAGCCTCTTATGAAGTTTGTGACCCTGATGCCTGGCTACATTTTACCTACCCTTAGTATTTATACTAGTAATTACATTAATATGATTTCAATTTATAGCTATTAGTTATTACCTTATACTCTATACCTTTTTCTTGCAGCTAATAAAAAGTTAGCACAATCATTTCATTTGTTGCTATACACAACCAGCTAGCCTTCCCCTCAGTGTTCATAGAAAAGGCCCACAATTAATTGACTGCAACGTGTTAATATACATATTTCACTATAACCATACCCAATTCATGATAAAATCGTGTTTCACATAAATCTATAAATATATTTTATAAATGTGTTTATGTTATTTTATATCACCATCGGACAGCAGCATTTTTTCTCTTTGGCTAAACATCTTTCTCTATTTGTCAAGCTAGGCACAGTACAACACAAACTAAAATGAGATAATTGGGAGGTAGTCATAAAGTCAGTTTGAATATATTATCACAAGTATATGTGAGATAATATTTGTTTTAGAAAGATTCTCTTGCATTGTAAACTCAGTCTCATTAGAGACCGCATTTAAAAGGCTTATAAAGTTACTCATTAATGTTATCTTGTTGTATCTCCACAGCTTTTTCATTAAAGAAAATTCAGCAGAAAGCATTTTCTCTTGATAGCAAGAACCAATTTGCAATAAATGTTCTGGAAACCACTAGGGAAACCATTACTGAGGTCTAATAAAAACAGACAAGCGTAACTTGTTCTATATTTTTGTTTCAATCACATACAGATGAGACCCCGCTCTCAACACCAACTGCAAGAGACTGCTTTGACAAACTCTCTCTGTCTGGACATGGGCAACCACTACCTCCTGGTTTTCCTTCACCTTTTCTCTTTCCTGATGGGTTGTCTTCTATAGAGACACTTCTAACTAATATCCAGGTAGGCCATTATTAATATGGTTATAAACAATAATGCTGAATTATAAACAGAAAATAATACAATAGGTGCCTTGGTATTTATTTATTTATTGTTAAAAAGACATTTGGCCTTCATTGACAGTAGATTTTCAGTTCTTGCTCTTCAAATAAAGAACTTTAGAACCAAAGAAAGAATATGAACTGTTGTACAGCTGATATGTCAGTTTGCAGGTTTTTCTTCACTGAAAATAAAAAACAAAAAATAAGCAAATATTTTAAAATCTGTTCTGCTGGAAATTCACTTGATCCACCTTGTTTATCAATTTTTCGCATAAGATTTTTTTTCAAAGTAAAAGTTTTCCTAATATTGTTTTTTTATTTAGAAAACACATGACAAATGATGCCAGTGAAAGCAAAGAAGTTTAAAAACTTAGGGGTCTATTCACGAAGCTGCTGAAGGATCTAGCCGTAGCTTCGGCCGATCCTTCGGCTAGCTTCGGCCCCAGGACCCCTTCGGTTCAGTAGAACCGAAGGGGTGCTATAGGGGCTATTCACAATAGCCCGTACAGCTCCCGATCATGGCCGAGCGGCTCAGTCGAGCCGAAACGCATATGCATCGGCTCGGCTGAGCCGTGCTGAAATCTGAAGCTGGCCGAGATGAAAGCCGTATTTCAGCCGATGTACGGCTGAAATCAGCCGTACCAGGCTGAAGTGAATAGCCGAACAGTGTTCGGCTCACTTCACTTCAGATCGGTCATTCACTCGGCTGCCCTCGGCAGCTTAGTGAATAGACCCCATATTGATTGTGGCAGGTACACAGCAAAGCACAATTACCTCAACCACATGGAGAACTACCAGCTTGGACTTAGCAGAAGCCAATGACAGTTATAAACATAACGTTTTTTTAACAGGTTGCTGCAAAAGTATAGGAAATTGGAGTTTAACTTTGGTAGCTATAAAATCCTGAAATAAATGTACTGACGGTGCAAGTAGCCTGCAAACACATGAAAACAAATATATTCTTTGATAATGTTATCTATTGAAAGATGCATTAACAGGCACTGTTAATACCATATAAAGTGCGGGAGACAAGCAATAGATTTCTCAAAACACTAGTACAAACGTCTGAATACTGAAAAATGGCCTGGCCAGGAAGGGGGTGAAACACTATGGCCTTCAAGTGGTTAATACCTCATCTTGCAATCTTCTGCTGTTTATTCTTGCCATTCTTTTTCACGTACGTTTGAGGCACGGTGTGATCTTGCTTGTAACAAAAAACTGCTGATGTCTTCTTAGGTGTGGTTCAAGTGTCAGCATAGTCTAGCATTATTTGATTATTGTGAGAAGAGTGGCTGGTTGATCATTAAAGCTGGCCTTAGTTATCAGAGAAAGTTGGATGTGCCTGCATAATCTGACTCCATAATAATATATTCCATGGCTCTGCCTTATTACTCAAACAGGAAAGGAATGCCAAACTAACCCCAGAACTCAGTCCAGCTAGTCAGCACAAAATACCTATTTGACACTGTTTTAATAGCAAGAAATATACAGAATAATTTAAGGCATTATATTAGTTATGTTAACAGCAAATTCTAGTTGCTGTTCACAGTTTTCATGTTAGTGGGTGGCATTTTTCCAACCATGAGCATGCAAGCAGCATAGCATGCTTTCATGTACCACTATAAAATATCACTGTGGTACTTGCATAGATATTTAATTTAATTATTTATACATTTTCAAGAGTTTGTAAAACATGTCTTTTTTGTTATATATTTTATATATTTTATATATAAAATTAATCTTAAAAAATTAATGTCATTTGCCAGAAAGTAAGGGGATCAGCAGAAAGATATATTTTGTTCATTATACATTTATTACATGCTATTCATTTATGTAGTTTATTCAGCTTCTAATAATACAACCAATCAACACATTAAGTGGTGCCAGCATTGGCATCTTGCTAAATAATCTCTAGACATTGCGTAGAGAGTACATCTTTCAAAGGCAAGTCAACAAGATCAATCAGAGCAGAAAATTAGAATTTAGTATCTCGGAATTAAAATAAAGCTAAACTAAATTTTTAATTGGGGTGATCTGAAGGGGCACTTGATGTAATGATCTCTTTCATTTGTTGCTAATTGTTTGTTGCTAGTGAAGTACAGTAAAACAATGAGCATTGATGAATAATGCAAGGAGAAAGTAAAGATTTGCAGTCCTATTGTAACATAAAGGACGATATCCGAATTCAGTTATAATTGTTTTCCTTTATTTTGTTGTTAGTTATTGTCCTATCTTCACATTTCACATTCTTATTGCATAATAACTAACATGCTGATAAATATATAGATAGATATAGATATGTGCAGGGGTGTGGAAATTTTAGAAAAAAACTACTTGTCCAAGGACTAAAGTGGGGGCCGAATCTACTTGTCCCTCATGACAATCTACTTGTCCTGATACAAAAAAAAATTTTCAACCAAAAACGTATTTAGCAGTGCTAAGAAGCACTTCTCATTGGTCAGTGCCGTCAGGTGACTGCGTTGACCAACGAGTGCTTGCAATTTGCGAGCGAAATTCAGAATACATGGAACAGGTACACCCGTACTGGTGGACGAGAAGGACCATTCGCCGAAAGGTAAGTATAGTGGGAGGGAGATTTGTGCGGGTAATTCCATTTTCCCAAATTACTTGGGAAAGTGAATTTACCCTTTAGGGTTGGTGCAGACTTGGGGATTCCCAGGACGTGCGGTGGCATACAGCGGTTGCATCCGCATGTATGGGGGTTACATCTGCGTGGCAATCGCTGAAAAAAAGGTAGATGTACCTATTTTCATGACATGCACCGCGCAGTGTTTTCAACCGTGATCATGTGGGATTGCCCAGGCGGTATTGCAGCAGGAAAACGCGCAATCTGCCTGGCAGGACTGGGGTGCCATTAGAAAATAATGGCACTGACAGCACGATCGGCGGTGGTGTGCGATTCCGTGACCACCCATCCATCCGCTCGGTTTCATGCACAATGGCCGGGCAGTCACGGATCGCACACTCCTGATGTTTCTATTATTAGATTTGGTTTTACATGAAGCATATGTACATTTCCCGGTCCCTGCTTTCAGCTGTGCTTTCTCACTACTGGAGCTGCCGTAGCAGATATTACAGAGCAGTCATTCGATTTTACATTTTTCCTAGGGGATCAGCAAGGGACAGAAGTTTGGACAAAAATGCCAATTTCTCATTTTTAAAACTCCAACACAAAATATCATAAGACAAACTAAATATTTGTCATATGGTATCGTTCAGGTGCCGGCGTTCACACTGTGGGCAGGGGTAGTGGCTGCGGTGCCATTGACTTCAATGCACCGCTACGCTCCCTTACGCAGGGAGGCGGCCGACTTGCGTTCCAGTCTTTGTGGTGTGAACTGACTCTTGAAGTTTAGGCCTCGTTCACACCAGAAGATTCTGGCCAGAACGCACTGCATCGCATTGCGGCCGGTTCACTATAATTGGGGGCAGGACGATCCATTGAAGGGAATGGCACCGTTCATTAGTCACCAGCAAGTGATAACCAATTTAGTATGTCACGGCACAAGAAAATTACTGCACATTTCCCCATGTTGTATCTCTTTACAAACACTGCAGGTAACAAATATTACCTGCAGACCTCCAGAAATCCAGTGTGGTCTGAACTTCCTGTTTGAATTTCCAACCAACATTGACAGCCCTGTATGCTGGACTGTAGAAGTCTTATCTTTTACCCCACTCTGTGGCACTCCACATGCATACATGGATTTATTTCCTTCCTACATTGATTTCCTAGCAGGTTCTCAGCTCTCCATCTATGTAGCCTCTTGTCCCATGATTCTGTGATGCATAACTTCCCAAGAAACTTACAGTGGATGAATTTGAGAATACATGGCTTGGCCATTATTAGGCCCAGACTTGGCCATTATTAGGCTTTACAAATGCCAGATTACCAGCAACAAGGTGCATCATCCCCGTGCATAGATAAAAAAAACCAACTTATGTACGTTAACTAGGGAAAAGCTTTTTATAGTTTAATTGCAATGGCGAACACTGGGCTTGCTTGTGCAAAAGTAAGGGTGGGTGTTATTCATGAAGGAGCCAATGGATCCAGCCGTAGCTTTGGCTGATCCTGCGGCTCTCTTCAGCCACTGGAGCCCTTCAGTTCAGTCAAAGCGAAGGGCTGGTGTACGGGCTATGCACTATAGCCCGCAAGGCCGCCGAAGGCGGCCGAGCAGCTCAGCCGAGATGCAGGCATATGTTTCGGCTTGACTGAGCCGAAGGGTTGGCAGTAAGCACTACAAATGACAGCTGGGTGGAGCCAGCCGTGATCTCACGCCTGGCTCCGACCAGTTGTAATGACACATCAGCGTTCCAAAATAACCTGGGGACGCTGAACTGTCATTAAACAATAACAACTAGGCGGTGCCGGCCGTGACGTCACGGCTGGCTCCACCCAGCTGTTATTCATTGGCCGGGACCTGCTAGAACACTCTAGCAGGTCCCTCCTGGGGACGCTGATCTGTCATTAAACAATAACAACTGGGCGGAGCCGGCCGTGATGTCACCTGCTAGAACACACTAGCAGGTCCCGGCCAATAGGAAACAGTTGGGTGGAGATAGCTGTCACTGCTAGCTCCGCCCAATTGTTTTTTTATTATAATTTTTTTCTTTTTTAAATATCTTTCTTTTTTAATTCTACTATTCAATTACATTTTTTTTTAAATGTCAACCTTTTTTTTTAAACCATATTCACTGATTTTCTATTCTGCTTGGTACCACGGAGGTATCAAGCAAAATAGCCGAGAGTGGCATTCGGCTATTCACTCACTGCCGTTCGGCCCCTATGTGAATAGGTGCGAATGGCAGCGAGTAAGCTGCCGGAGCTTCGGCTCAGCCGATCCAGATGTTAGATTAGCTAAGTCAAACTCCTTCTGCACTTTGGCTCAGCCGTACAGAGCCGATGTAAGGCTGATTTCAGCCAATGTACAGTTGAAATCAGCCGTACAAGCCAGAGGTGAATAGCCAAACAGCGTTCGGCTCACTTCACTTCGGCCCAGTTAGTCACTCGGCTGCCTTAGGCAGCTTAGTGAATAACCCTGTAAATTATCCAAAGCACTAAGCTACCAAAAATTAAAAGGAGCTAAACGTGCTTGCTTGAAAGTCCCAATTTTTCTTATACAATATGAAGTGGATGAAGCAGGCGCATAATGTTTCAGAATGCTTAATTCTCCTTCATCCTAGCAGTTTGGCAAACTTATAGTAATTCTGATTTTTTTTTCACATTCATAGTGTAAAGATATCATAAATCCCTGAAATATGGTTATCTTTATAAATTAGTGCAAATCAATTTATATTCAAATTATACCTTTTACTTTTGCTCTTGAAGGACAGACAGGCATTACAAAAAATTAATGGAAAATAACTTAATCTTTTTTTTCTTTACCACAAATAAGCATGTTTGTATTTAAATGCAACCAATACAGACACATCCTTATAAATATTATTATGCTTTCTGAAATCTGGCATCTCTGGCAATGCCATCAAGGCTCATGTGATAATATAAATCTAAGGACCTGCTTAAGTGTCTGTGGGCAGCTTAGCTCCAATCAATTATCTTTATATAAAAGAAGAATATTGACTTTAATCAAGACACATCTACCACTTGGCCCTTGGTTCTTAGAGTTAGCAAGTTAGAAACTTTCTATTCCTCTCCTGGTGCTGTTGAATTGATCTGTGCTAGAAATGTTACACTCCTTATTTGACAGCTGAGCAAACCTGAAGTTATTTTTATCATCATAATGTTGCAGTAGACAGTATGCAAAGACAAAATCAGTGAGTTATTGAGCATGGAATTCTCAGCATGGAATTGTTTTGGAACTCATCGGAATAGTTGCTGTACATTGTTGGATGACCAAACAAGAGATGGTGAAGGTAATCTTATTTGGTTGACCTACACTGTAATCGATCAAATCATTTCTGAAGATGGCCCATGCTGAGATTGAAACATGTTTGCTTGGCATTTAACTTACACAACGTAAAATGTGCTTTACACAATATTTGCATCTGCAAAGTTTTCACACAACTTAAAGAATTGTGCTTTAAATAGGCAAGTATACAGTACATGCATAACAGGTCATATTTATCTTAAAACATTTAAAAACAGTAGACTTCTATCACAACAATCTCATAACAAGAATATTGCAACTGTCACTTGTAAGATCCTTTAACTGGTAGCATAGAATAATAAACTGTAAGCATTGATTAAAGAGGTGAATATATCTATTTTTCTGTTTATTACACTACTTTTCAAATTATAGTTTCACTACCATGTAATCCTGAGACTTTTGAAATAGTACAGATTATTCAGTATCAGCTTCCATAATTGGTTCTGAGCCATGGCTTCCAATTGTGCCTATACTGACTTCATAGCCAGTCAGATTTATTTTTCTTCTGCACTTAATGCCTCCTTGATTTACATGCCCCATACCAAAACCAGAAATATTATATAAAGTAAAAAGCGACAAAGCTGATGTGTGTGTTACCACTGTTGCATATTTACCAGTTCCTCCGATTATAGGTAAATACTGAACTGCAAGGGTTAACTTATGTCATTGAATAGTTTAGAAAGTATGTTAAGGAGTTAAACTTAAAGATTTGTTTTAAGATTAGGGTAGGACGGGTTCTCACTACTAGATTGGAAACCTGTGGGACAATGGAGCAAGGAAAGTATTACACCCCCCCCAGACTGAACAAGCATTATGCCCTAAATCCTTGGGGGAGGGGCACCCACATGTTATATTTTTCAAGTTGACTGGAATTCAGCTTTAATTGTTTAACCTATTTCCTGTGCTAGCAGTCCTGTATTAAAATCAAAGTTTTATTTTTGCCATTGAAAACCAGCATGCTGCAGTTAGAGGGAAGCATTGTTACAATTAAAGTTTTTTTTAAATTTTGTATTTATATTTTAGGCTACAGCACCGATTACATTAGTTACCTGTCATAGTGTGCATCACACTCTCTCCAGGCTGCTGCTTCATAACAAAATCCTCCATTCATGCCAACAAATTCACCTCACAGTGCTCTGGGGGTTAACACCAGCAACTATCAGTGTGATATCAGTTACTCTGCTTAACCACCCTTTCTTGCCCCTTCTCCATTCATAGAACTCGTACTATTATTGTTCCACAGTGCACTGCACTCTATGAATTGAGGAGCAGTGGATCTGCCCTGCCCACTCACAGACCACATTGCATTGTGGACCAATATCGATATGAGCTACATGAATAGAGAATGGGGGCAGGAAGGGGCAAGTGAGTGGTGAACAATATCACACTGATAGTCGCTGGTGTTACCCTCAAATCACTGGAAGATAGACACCCTGGGGTGTATTTGGAGGCATGAAGAGTGGACTTGAAGATTGTCATGAAGCAGAAGCCTCAAACCTATACTTCAGCTTCAAATGTAAGTACATTTTAAAGATATTCAGGGGAATTTATCAAAACTGGGGCAGACAAAATCTGGAGCAGTTGCCCTTGGCAACCAATCAGCATCTCTCTTTAGTTTTGTGAGATAAGATATGAAAATGAGACAGATAAGCTATTTGGTCGCAGTGCAAATCTGCTCCAGATTTTGTCTGCTCCAGTTTTGATAAATTCCCCCCACTGTGTTATCATTTTTTGATTGTAGTTTGTTTTCATGTTATTGATAATTGTGCTTTGCCTTTCAGGGCTTGTTGAAGGTTGCCATTGATAATGCCCGAGCTCAAGAAAAACAGGTACAGATAGAAAAGACTGAACTGAAGATGGAACTTTTCAGGGAACGAGAACTGAGGGAAACCCTAGAGAAACAATTAGCAGTAGAGCAAAAGAACAGAGGTATTTCTTCATGATTCTATATAAACATAAGAAAGGTGATCATGTATGTTTGTACACCTACCTGTTTATTTGCTTGTTCATTTATTTATATACCTATCCAGGTTTAAGGGCACTCCGATATTATATAATGGAAGTAATGCAAAAATAAAACCTTGCTCTTCATGACCATTGTCACTGAATTTTGCCTCTCTTCTTTTATGTTGTCTTAATGTCCTAACAGTTGGTTAATTGGGGGTGATAAAAATTGTCACTCCTGCTGGATAAAGCAGCACTTGTAAAATGCACAATGTGCCATACTCTTCCAGCTTCAGGTTTGCTGTTGCCAGTTGTAAGAAGCTGTCAGTGTGCACTTGTGAGCACTGCTTCAACCTCCCAGGAGGCAAGAAACATTTAGTTGCCCTAACATTGCATGAGTTTTCACAATGGTAGGATGGTTTTACACAGGGAAATACTGTACATAAGTAGTGAAAAGCTCCATTTTAAGTGTAACATAAGAACAGAATTCACACAATAATGGCTAAATATTTTTCTTTTCAATTGCAGTACTTGCAATAAATAACATATTCATATGTGTTCTTGTGTAGCTTGTGTCCAGATTAAACATTTAGTGTGCTGCTATGTTACATAATTGGCAAGACAGTCACAAGATAACTAAACTGATATATCTTGTTTCAGCAATAATTCAAAAGAGACTCAAGAAAGAAAAGAAAGCAAAAAGGAAATTGCAGGAAGCATTAGAATTTGAGACAAAAAGAAGAGAACAGGCTGAACAGGCACTGAAGCAGGCAGCATCATCGGAAGGACTCAGAGTCCTTAATGGTAAGTCTGTGTTAAAGGAGAACCTCACTAACTAAAAAGTAGGGCATTTTCAACAATGAGGCAACATTTAACTAAATCACTTAAAGTGTATTTACACCTTTGCAGCCAAACATGAGAAACCCACACTATATGTTGTATTTTGGGTTTTTCTTTTATTTTGGGGGTATACTGTTTGTTATGGGTTTCCATTCACACAGCATACCTAAAAATAATTATCTTTCTCGTTTTGTCTTGCCTTCTTAGGTATAAATACATTTTTACTACAACTATAACATTTCAAATAAAAATTTACTTTTGTTTCAGATGTGATATTCTGGAGTTTTCATTTCTTTTTTATTTCATATTTATAGAGCATTTTAAAGCTTGAGGTGCACAAAGCACAGCATTTACTTAGTGACCATCTGTTCTTGGAGCTGTTTTGCCCAGCTCACCCTTGCATTGTTTAAAAGAAAAAAAAAACAAGTGCAAGGACAGTGTAAAGCTAAAGCACCTTACATTTTATCATTCACATTAACCATACACCAGTTAGGCCTACTATCCATGAGTAAAGTTACCCTGCTGCTGGCCAATTTTACATTGCTGTATTCATTGCAGTATTTTAATTCTTGTAGTAAAGCCCAAGCCAGTACAATATTTGAAATCTTGTAGTAAAGCCCCACAGCTCTTTTTTTACTTTTGCTCAACAGTTTTACACTGCGGTGTCATCTGCAGTATTTTCTGTTCTTGAAGTCAAACACCTGACTGTGCTGTTTTTCTAGTACTTTTCTGCCAATTCTCCCTTTTTACAAATGTCTTTCTGATGGTTTATTTTACACTGCTGTATAATTTGTAGTCTGTTAATTGTTAATAAGAGTTTGATAGAAATTGGCCATGAGCAGGACTGTTTTGCATCAGTGAAAATGGAGACAGCCTTAGCAAACTGAAATCATTCAAATCAGAGTGCTGTTGTTGTATGTATGCCAAGCTAATTGTAAAAGAAAAACATTGATTCCACAGCCAAGTATGCTCTGCCAGTCTACACCGTCACTGAGACTGTTCGTTAAAATTGTACTGTTATGTACAGCTCTAAGTCATCCCCCAATCATGTTATTAATGCACTGGACTATCTTGCCCCACTATTGTAGGAATCAGCTTCAAGTGATAGGACCTTTAAGGACACAGTCGATCACCAACTCTTCTTTTTGAGGCCATCTTTGCCCACTTTTATTAAAGGAGGTTCAGAAAATGTGCAAGTTTACCCCTGCTGTGGTTTTCAGTATTCTGCTTCCAATGCCACGAAGGAAACAAAAATACAAATCCTCACACTAGTTTCCTGGCTTTCTCTTGCAGCAACACTGCTCCGACCTCAATTCTCAGCCCATTGTCTCCTCCTCTAGACAGTATTCTCAACCAAGCTCTGTGCATACACCTAGATGGTCTCTACTGCACCTGCTCTCCGCCTGTCTTCTAGGTGGACCACTCCTGGCTCCTGGGCAGAGACCTGCTCTGTCTCCCTGAGTGCAGCCCTTAACTATTGCCAACACCTATACTAAAAGGCCTGTGCACACCTCCACAATCAAGATGCTGGTTGTCAACAAACCATGGACCCAGTTGGAGGCTTCATCCCACCTAATGCTCTTCAAAGTCTCAGGGCTCCAAGACCTAATCCAGGAATTACAAATCCTGGAGGAAACTGAATATCTAGTTTCCAACCCTGTGAAACATGCATCCTGGAACCCAACAACTTGTATAGGTAGGAATCCTATGTTCCTCTTTAAAAACAAAGAGGAGACTGAAGTGCCACAACCTAGCGCATTAACTTAGGTGAAATATGACAAGGAGTATAAGATATTGAACTCACATGTAGGAGAGTGAGCACATACTTCAACAGAGGAATACTGTGGAAATCTTGGTATTGTGGTATTGTTAAGCAACGGGGCCATATTTGTCCTCATTAGGTTAGTTGTGATGTGGTCTCAATGACGAGGGTGCTGTGCCGAGCTGGCTGCTGTTCTAGAGGTGATGTGGTATAATGTTCTGATCCTGAAGGTGGTGGATGGAACGATTCAATCCTGAAGTAGTTTGGAGAGATTCTGATCATGGTGGTAGATGGTGCATGGTTCGTAATGTTCCAGAGTGAGGAGTCCTAGATCAGTGGTGTATAGGGGTTGTGGTAAATGGTCTTAATCGCTGAGGTTCTGGGCAAGCTTGTTGGGATATATTTTCTGAGGGGTAATGTATATTGAGGGTGGTAAACACAATGTCCTCTTACTGTTCTGGAGCAGGTTCAACGGGGTGTATGGAGGCGTACAGGTGTCATTGTAATATACATTAACCTCTCAAGGACTATATTCCAACAAACTTGCCTAGAATCTCATCGATTAATAGCGTTTACCACAACCCGCATAGAGCACTCATCTAGGACTCTTCACTCAGGAACATTAAGAACCATGCACCATCTACCTTCATGATCAGAATCTCTCCAAGCTACTTTAGGATTGAATCATCCCATCTATCATCCACCTTCAGGCTCACAACATTACACCACATCGCCTCTAGGACAGCAACCAGCTCGGCACAGCACCCTCATGGTTGAGACCACATTACAACTAACCTAACGAGGTCGAATACAGCCCGTCGCTCAACAATACCACGATTTCGACAGTGTTCCCATGTTGAAGCGTGTGCTCCCCCTCCCATATGTGAGTTCAATATTTTATACTACTGGTCCTATTTCACCCGAGTTATTGCGCTAGGTTGTGGCGCTTTGGTCTCCTATTTGTTTTTCTACCACACACGTCGGACACCCCGGGCTGTACTTCTCAAGGAGCTGACTACCAGTGTACGACACCTATAAATAGAGTACAATAAAGGCTGCTTAAATCCTTTTATGGTTTTTAACAAACTGAAGATTTTCCTTGAAGGAAACAAGCATCAATGTTCCCTTTAAGCAGTTGTTTTTGGCAAAGAAGCTGAGATATAGAGAGTTAAAGAGCACTGGTATTATTCTAACCAACCAAAATAAGTTTTCGATAGAAAAGGGCGAATATAATCTTTATGTCTTTGTTTTATTTTTGCCTCTGACACCATGAAGGAGATGGTGTCTCATTTTCTCTCATTTTCTGTCCCTGTATAACCCATAATAAATGGGAAATGTGGGTGTCACTGGGACAGGAAGGCTCAAACAATAATAAAAAGCATTGCTAGAATTCCAAAACTCTCCTCAATATACTATGTAAATGTGTTATTGTTTTTGACTATTTCTACTGTGACTCCCCAATAGGAGCACAGACAGTAATAAAACAAATATCTGACAGAGGTTCTAACCCTTCATGCTCTAGCCAACACTAAATATAATGTTTGGCCAGAATGGTGCTTTAAGTAATCATATTACTAGTGACCCTGTGTAGACATAAAAGGTTATTTTTATGCTTCAGCCCTGAGCGCTGGGTGTTGGTCCCACAGGACTCGTCTCTATCTCTCAGTAACATGTGAACAAAAGGAAAAGGAGGGTCACACTGCTAATCTCTCAGCCACTGTATACTTGTTTTGATCCACCAGGTAGAAGGCAAACCATCTGAACTCCCCCCTCCAATGGGTTTTAATAAGAGCATACTCACAGAGTGGGAGCTATCATGTAGAAGAATAGTTTATACACTTATTAATTACATAATCAAGTGTTGACATTGACAACCTTAAGGCCTGGTTCACACCTGGGCGTTTTACAGCGCGTTCCTATGCGCTATAAAACGCTCAACATGTGAAAACCAATGATTGCCTATGGGCACGGTTCACACCTGGGCATTTTACAACGCGTAGGAACGCGCTGCAAAATGCCCTACGCCCAAAGAAGTACAGGAGCTTCTTTGGGGCGTATTTGCTGCACGTATCCATTATCATGCAGCCGGATAGCCCTCGGAAACACGCTCTTGTCGCAGGTTTTTTTTACCGCAAGCGCACGGCAAACACGCATATTCGGTACGCCTACATGTGAACCCAGCCTTATGAGGAATTGCAAGACATTTTTTAATCTGCTGCTTTACAAGAGAGAAGAAAAGTAGTGTCTTTATAGCATGAGAGGCGTGTAAAGTCTTTGGACAAAACATTTTAAGGAAGTAAATAATACCTATACCTATTAGCAGCTCTTTGTGTAAGCCGAATTTTATTTATGCTGTTAATATTTTTTTTTCCATCTCTGCTTTTAGAAGCTTTGACCCCAGAGATAGAATCAGACCGCAACGGGGGCAGAACAGATGCTGAAAGGACAATACAAGGTAGGATGTGCAAAGTCCATAAATCTAGATCTTTGCATGTGAGTGTCCTCTTGTTATAGTATGCTATTCAACCATGCAGCTTACCATCTGGTTGAAATGAACACAAGTGCAAACAAGGTCACATTTGCACAGTTGTTTATTACAGTAAATTAAGTTTGTTGTGTTTAAAATAACAGGTAAGAGGTCAGCTTATGGTAGGCATGCTGACATCATATGCATAAATTATGGAACTTTAATAGTTATAATTCTCATATAATAGATTTCTATTTTACTCTAATATGCTGATTAAACTGCTATGTTTAGGGCACATACATTTACTTTGGTTGACCAAAGGAACATACAGGAATGATTTGCAATGCTGTGCCCAACACTGTTCACTTCTCCTACCTTCTCCAAACCCTTCACCCTTTAGTGAATAGACTTGTTAGTTTTTTTCTACCTCTTAGCACTTGCACTGTCTAGCATTGTCCAGAAGACAGTAAGTTAACATAAGGGAAAACACAGTGGGGGGAATTTTTCAAAACTGGAGCAGACCGAATCTGAAGCAGTTGCCCATGGCAACCAATCAGCTTCTCTTTTCAGTTTGTTCAGTTAAGATTTGAAAATGAAAGAGAAGCTAATTGGTTGCCATGCATAGTTGCTCTGGAACCTGTCTGCTCCACTTTTGCAAAAATTCCCCTCATCATGTGTGAACTGTGCATTAGAAAGAAAAAACTGCTTTGGAGCCAGAATCTGCATCATTGTCTTTAGTGAAAGGGTTAAATATATGGCATTTTGAACTATACTTCCATAAGCATTTTTTGTCACTACTACTACTACTACTTCATGAATATGTATATATATAGAAATAGATTTTCCCCAATTCTTGAAATGATTATGTATGTGGCGTTTACAGTAGCTCCTTGACTGAAATGAAGAGCACGGACTGCCATGTAATTGTAAAGAGTAGGGGAATATATTTAACAAGACAGGAATGGGACTTGACCCATCCCCCAAAAATGGAGAAGTATGCTTTTTGTCAAGTTTCTCTTCAAAGCAAGATGGACAATATTTTTGTTTTGCTGGGTCAAAAAGTGGTTTTGAAGCTTAATGGACATATTTGAATATTGAAATAATATAACAATTCTATACAGCCAAAAACATTGCAACAGACTCAAACGTCAATAGAAAGCTCCCGATGGCTTTTTAAAAACTCTATTCTATTTTTTTATTCCTCTTAAAAAAAAACAAAATTAACTTAATTAAGATTTTCATCTAAGTTTAAAACATTATTTCCCTGCTTTAGATAGATAGATGTAGCGAGAGACATATATATAAATATAGAGAGAGAGACAGAGAGAGAGAGAGATAATATAAATTTGTATGACAATACTTTAAATAAAAATATTATTTATTTTTCTGAATTAATATGTGTAGCCTCAGAAAATTAATTGACTTTTACACAATGTAATGTGAGTTTCACATGATTGATCAAGAGCTTATTTCCCAAGGTGAAAACAGTTTGTAAATGAGTAACTTTGTCCTAACGATATCTTCTGCATTGTGTGAGGGTATATTGATCAAATTTTCACTGGCAAAGAAATATTTTATCTGTTAATTCCCATGAAAGCAAAGGCAAAACAAGAACTTTTTGTATTCTTTCAAATCAATATATGAAACCTAAGAGTGCATTCAAAGGTATAAATACTTTTCCTTTGCTTTGTAATATTATCACCAGCTAACCTTTACTCGTGCATTTTAATAAAGAAAGGCAGGCATACGTGTATATTTAAATCTTTGCTCCAGGTACAGCATACACAGATACTATGGGGTCGAGTTACTGTCCGCCGGCTCTGCTGCTGTCAAAAAAAAAAGAAAAAAAAACTCTCCCTGGCGCTCTGGGAGCCTACCGCTTCCAGCCGCCAAGGAGAGAAACAGTGCTGTGTCTTTTTTTTTTCTTTATTCTGACACGATCGATGTCAGAATAGAAAAAAAAAAGACATTTTCCGATTGAAAAGCATTGGGACATTACTATTGGCTATTTCAATTTGCAAGCATTGTTCTAGCATTGTTCCCGCCCTCTGCTGATGGACCTGATGGGGAACTGCAGCAGAGGGCGGGTACAATGCTAGTTTACTATTGGCTATTGCACATTGAAATAGCCAATAGTAATGTCCCAATGCTTTTCAATGGGAAAAATCTTTTTTTTTTTTTCTATTCTGACATCGCTCGTGTCAGAATAAAGAAAAAAAGATACAGCCCTGTTTCTCTCCTTGGCGGCTGGGAGCGGGAGACTCCCGGGGCGCCAGGGAGAGTTTGCTGTTAACCAGGGACGCTGATCTCTCTGAAAGTGGCCGGAGCCAGCCGTAAGATCACGGCTGGCTTCGCCCAGCTGTCAGAAGCAGGCCGGCCAATGGCCGGCCGCTCGGCCAGCTTCGGCTTTCAGCACGGCTCAGCCGAGCCGATGCATATGCGCTCGGCTGAGCTGCTCGGCCATGATCGGGAGCTGTACGGGCTATTGTGAATAGCCCGTACAGCACCCCTTCGGTTCTACTGAACCGAAGGGGTCCTGGGGCCGAAGCTAGCCGAAGGATTGGCCGAAGCTACGGCCAGATCCTTCGGCAGCTTCGTGAATAGACCCCTATGAGTTCAAAGTGAGCCATATTTTCATTAATCAAACTTTTCCTTCTAAATCTCTTCATCTGTTAAAAAGGCCTTCCACATGATTCTATATTTTCTTAAGAGGCGTTCAGGAATTATGAATAGTGCCATGAAGAATTGTTAGTATAAACCTTGTTTCAGATCAAATGTAACTATTGATATAATGTTACAGTGTTGAATATTTTACATCACTAAGCATTTTTTCCTGAATAAAACTACACAAAAATAATCCAACTTAAATAGAAGCGAATAATAATGTGCTGTAAAATTAAACGCATAGAAGTTGGATCAACTGTTGAGAGATTTGTAACAATTTTTTCCTTATAAGGTTGATCTCAGATATAATTAGAATGCAAAGTATTTGTGTTCCCCACAGAGCTACAATACTCAATATATTGGAAGAACAATTTTTCAGCATTTTTGAGGAACTGGGATAATGTCATCTATTCTTACAGTGCTATAATCACTGAACATGATGTATTTAAAGGAAATGTATAAGAGCAGTAAAGCTTCACTACAAGGAATAACAATATAGTCACACTTATAAGGAATGAATTTGTTAAGATGATGTTTACATGCATCTTTATGTCGACCCCCAACCATGCACATGTCTCACCAAGTTTTTTTGTGGTTTCCTTTATTACAATTGTATACAGTAAGCAAACAAAATAATTATATATATTTTTTAACATTTTATATGCGCCTAAAGAGACACTGTCACTTTCCCCATGCAGAGTACAGTGACAGTGATGTACATTGCTGGACATTGTGATTGATGTGGCATTACATCTGGGGACGTTAGTCACATTTTTATTATTGTATTTTTCTTGAACTGTAATTATAGGATTTTCTCTAAAGTGTGTGTGTGTGTGTCTGTGTTTGTTTATTTATATTTACCTCCTTGTCAGAATGGGTATTAATATAATGGTACTAATATAACCTGTACTCATTCCTCTTGGAGGGGGAAGATATCTGGGGGCCCCATTATTATAAATAGTGCTTCCAGATTCTGCTCAAAGCCCCCAAAATAACCCCTACATCCTTCTTGTGGGAATCAGATGTGGGAAGAAGGCCCTGGTCACCCCTCTTGCAAGGTACCCCCCTCAGGGCCGGATTCCATACAAGGCCACCGAGGCCCGGCCTCCGGGCAGCAGGGAGCAAAGGAGCAGCAGCGGTTTGAAATCTCCTGATGCCTGGAACACACAGTTCTGGGCACCGGGCGGTAATTTGTTTTCTACATTTAGCCCTGCTTTGCACAATAATGATATAAAAAATCATAAAAATAAAAAAGTAAAAGATGACAAGATAAATAAAAATGTAAATCCAGGCTGCATGTCCTATGCCATATTTCCCACTCTTTAAAGTGACATAAATAAGAAAAAACCTAGGGTATCCCCTGAAATTTCACCCAGACCCTTCTTTGGCAAATATGGTCATGACCAGATGTGCTTAGCTGTTCCCTCTCTCCCTTCAAAGTACTCCCCCAATGTTGAAAGGCATGTGGCCTAGTCTGGTACAGGATGGGGGGACTGCATGCTTGCTGTCCTCCCTTTCCTGGCCACCCAGGCTGCAAGGGTCCAAGTGGAATTTGATCCATGTCCCCCATGGGAATACTCAGCTCCCCATTGCCTATTAGCCTTGATTATAGGCAGCAAAGGTAGCTAGTTTTGCCTTCCCCAGACTTCAGTGGGTTTTAAGTTCAGCTCAAACTACCTGAGCAGATTTTCTCATGCCTAGTGGTGAAATGTCATGGACTATTAAACTCATCTTACAACTTTAGATATTGCCAGTATTTATATTCACAAATCTGACAAAAAAAGCATGTCACTGTTTATGGCCTTTTTTATTAATGGTTTGTACACTATTAAAAAACATATGGAAATGTAATATTATGTAGGAATCTACCTATAGGAGTATCTATAATTTCCTCTAGAATAAAACCGTATAGTACATTTTATTATCTTGCCTCATATTAAGGCCTTCAGGATGCAGATATACTACAATATTTTTGCTATTATTATTTCAAATGTTCAAACTATATTAATGAGAACATCATTTTGGAGAACTAATTATTTCTATTTGTCTTGTGTCACACTTTCTAATTCCCCTATATTAGAACAGCCAAAGCAAATTAATTGCTTTTCCAGAAGTTGGACCTCAGCCAAGAATGAGCTCATGTTTTCTTTCCATTTGCTTCTTTCTAGGACTGTATTGTGTGAGACAACCCTCTTGATAGAAAACATAGTCCTGAGAATACATTTGTACACTTTTTGTTGCTTCCTACTGGATGAAATGCATATAAGTTTAAGTGACCCACTAGGAAAAATAAAGTTCTTAGCTGCAAAATTATACATCAAAAC